AGGGTAAATGGAATTTGGAGGCATTAAGAGCTTCAAAATTGGTTGTTCATGGTTGTTGGAGTATTGATGACAATGGCAATCTTGTAATTACTTGAAGATGATGAGGGTGAGAGAGTAAATATGTTATTTTCGAAAAAAAAAAAATTGATGGCATTTTCGTGAATTATATGAACTTGTGGGGTGAATTGGGCAAAATAAAATTCCAAAAAAAAAGAGGTTAGTTTTGTGGTTGACTTCAAGTTTCAGGTCAATTCTGCAAAAAGTCCTTTTACTTTTCTAAATATTTTAATAATTAATGTATTTAGTTATTAATTTTTTTAAAGGATTTAATTTATTTTAATTTTGTTTGTAGTGTCCTCTCTATTGGAGCATATGCTGTATGCATACCGTATATTATTAGCAAAAGAAAAAAAAATCAGTTAGGAAGTTCATTGTGCTTAATTTTTTTTATCATAAATGAAGTTATGTTTCTTATCAATTTTTATTAAGGATCTCAAAGTGTCCACGTTAGTATTTTGTGGATCATGTGCCTTTAATTTTTAAATACTTATAAACATTTTAGCCGATTAGTACAAGACATCTAATTAAGTTTACAAGCATGTGGGTTCAAATCACGTAGCTGTTATGTATTTTAGTTTTTTTCGTTTATGTTATTATCATATGAGCTTTTTGATTTTAATATTTTTAAGAGCATTCATAACAGGGATTCTTAAGGGAGATTTCTTGGGAAAAAAAATAATTAAATAATCAGTGGATTCTACCAAAAACTAAGGATTCAATTATTAAAATCCCTAAATAAAGATTATTTCTTAGCGAATCCTTCCAATAGTTGGGGTTCCCACGACACATGGCGGCTCACGATTGATTGGTAACTTTTTTTTTATTTTTATTTTTTATTATCTGAAATAAAAAATAATTAAAAAATCAAAAACTAAGGACTCCCATGGATAACACCATTGCGAATGCTCTAATATTTTCTGTTGTTTTTTCTCCTCTGGGTTTATTGTTTAAACCCAAAATAATGGGACAAATTCTAAAGTTTAACGAATTCAATCTCAAAAATAATTAAAAATGGATCAAAAAACGAACAGCCAAAAAAACAAAAAACAAAACGAGTTCCACGCGGCACTATCATGTCCTAATATATACTAGGTGACCGGCCCGCACCCTGTGCGGGTATATACAGATTCAAATTATGGACTTAATAATACAAAGTTTTAGAAGTAAGAGATTGTATATCATAAGACCACCATATTTGAGGTAAAAGCATCAGACACAGAAAAATGCTGGTACACAATATTTTACAT